TATACTCTCTAATGTAGGGGGTCCCTAGAGAACCTTTTGCTATATATACTTGAATAAAAATCCTAGCTCCCAAGAGGATAGATGTTAAAAAAAAAAAAAAAAATGTTATGCATCACAAAGAAAGAAAAGATAAACTTGTTATTCCAGGCTTCTTGATCAATAAAATTTAAATTTTGATTGGTATGAAACATGAATGTTTAAGGAAATTGGGCTTGAACTTGCTTAACAAAGTTATTAATGGACGCTAATTTACATGAACATAAGATGTCTCATGTCCACACAAAGAGGAATGCACCACAAACCAAGAAAAGATAAACCTGTTTTTTTTATCAGTACGTAGCAATTTACAAGGAGAAATGTATCACAAATAGAGAAAAGATAAACTTTATCAATGAAATTTAAATTTTTATTGGTGCAAAGCATGAACTTCTAAGGAAATTGGGCCTGAACTTGCTTGATAAAGTTATTTTTCAAGAGAGTTATTTTTCAAGAGAATTATTAATTGACGTTAATGTATATGGACGTAATATGTCTATACTGTATTTACAAGGAGGAGGATAATATTATTATTTCAAGTTTTTATTTTTACATCATTGTTTGTTGCCAATACTCATGTTTCGACAATAAAAATTTAATGGAACTATAAACTAACTGTAGTAGAGGTGCGATCCGTAAACTAGTAGTTAATATAAATAAACTGTAGTTTATTGTAAAACTGTAGTTAACTGTAGTTTTAAAATAAACTACAGTTTATTTATACGTATTGTAATTCACAGTTCGCATCTCTAAACTGTAGTTTATTTAAAACTATAGCACGGACAGAAGGTGTCCTGTGGCACTGATCACATGAGATAAACGACTTTTATTATAGTTAAATATACACCCATGTCGAACAATATTCATATGTATCACATGAGGCATAAGGCATACGTTATCCAACCAAATCTTTTAACCTTTCAGGTGCCTAGCTTTCATAATTCTTAATAAATTTGGCCAAAATTAAAAATTTTACCGATTCAAAACTATTTGCTTAAAGGGAACAAGCACCTGATCCTAAAACCATAGAATTAAGTGACAATTTTTTTCATATCTTAATGAAATTCTTAAACATATTTAATTATCATAGAACTAAGGGAATCATATTAGATAAAAGTTTATTACCACCTATAGAAAGCAAAAGAGACTATTTCTTGCTAATAATAAATTATTATTTTAGTAAAAAACATTCTAGAAAAATGTTTTATAACACGAAAATGGATACTTACCGAATTTTTACAAATTCATTAATAATCGAGATATCCATATCCTTTTCAGATAAAGAAGTCTTTGAAATATTTGTGCTTCTAAAGAATTCTATTCGTAAATCCAACATATTATTTTCTCTTAGAATTTTTGTTATTTTAATCAAATTTTTTGCATAATTACTTCCACGATATCGCTTTTTTTGACTTTCTATGGTATTCTTTTGCCGAACCTTTTTCAGATTCTTCAATCGTTTTACCATTAGATATAGCTTCAAAATATTTTTTGAAATTTTCAAGAGTTGCTTCCTCAGAATATTTACTAAGCAAATTATCTAGTAAAACTAGATCCCAATTAATAGGTTCTAAACTAAGATAACGTTCTAACTCATTGCGATATTTCGACCATTCATTTATATCAACAGAGCCTTCAGTTGGTGGCATAGGCTTAGAGTTAGTAACTGCATCTTCTGAGATTTTATTATTTTCGCTCATATCGATCTTTATGGTATTGAAATAATCAATTTTTAATTCTGAAATTAAAAATGTAATGCGGTATATACAATACTTACGTACCTAATAGCTAGTTATACAATAGAAAAGGTAAAATAGAAATCTTTCCGAAAATCTTTTTTATATACCAGCTCTGCTGTGAAACTTAACTTTGCATAACGATAATCGCAACGTAACGGTAATTACTGTACGCAAATAAAAAATCTGGGACAGGTTATTATTAATCTCCGATCTCCGAATTAATCAACATAAAAAAAAAAATCATTAAAATTTGATTATTAATAAAATCATTTGATATTTTAATTTGATTATT